CTCCGTGCGTATGTGTTGTTTCCTGCTTTCGGCAAACAAGTGTTGCCCATCTTCACACTTGGCTGCACCGCGCTGATGAGGCCAATAGCCAGAAATACGTGTTCGCGGTTTGCCCCCCTTTTTGGAGTTTTGTGTCCACTAATCGTTTCACTTTTGATTTGTATCATACACACTCGATAAAATCTCTCTCTGTACTTATATCCTGGACCCAGATGTAACGCAGGTAGCTATAGCTGCCTACGTGGTCATGTTAGATGTAGCCTGGGAATTCTAGGTCTTCTATCTGTAACCACAAGTTTGCGGTCAGCTCCTGTAGTTAATCCCATGCGTATGTGTTGTTTCCTGATTTCGGCAAACAAGTGTGGCCCATCTTTATACTTGGCTGCACCACGCTGACGGGGCCAATAGCCAGAAACACGTGTCCGCGGTTTGAATCGCTTTTTCGAGTCCCATAATTGTTTCATTTTTGATATATATATATATATATATTTCTTTCTTGCACTGTTAAATCCACTCTCCTCGAAGCATATATCCATTTCTTACATCTAACCTCATTAATATGAGGTGTTATAAATGGTATAAAAAACACGTTTTCTTCCGGATATCTATTATCCAACGTACAATTCTCAAAACAGCAATGCTTTGTTGGCATTATACTAGCACAAAATAATTTTTTATGTCAGATTTATATTTTTAAATAATAAATTACTATTACGTAAATAACACTGTTTTACATGTGAATAGTTTATGTTTGTCCGTACTACTAGTGCTGCCTGTCGTGACAAGTTCGCTGTACTATTCTTAGGAAAAAGGCTCATTAAGATACATAATATACAATGTTCAATTGTAATTTGGAATTATTATATACACTTTTTGAATGTGTGTACCACTTCTTTATTGACAACCTATACCTAGTTGTAACATTCTTGACAGCAATAGTCGTAATAACATGACTTATTCAAGTAACACTTTGTGAGATTTTCAGTTGACAATTTACAAAACTGCAACACTATACAATACCTTCATCAGGCTTATTCACACGAGTGAACTGGCTATTGTATTGTGAAACACCTGTTGTGATTTTGAAAACTATGAAAATCTCATAATAAAATGTTATTCGATAGGTTATGGATCTCCATTTAGTATTGACCAATTCCATCTCATAACAATATAAATTATATAAAATACGTACCTCAGAAGCATTTTGCAATATATCAATTCCATTTTCATGTTTAATGAAGTCTGATACCTTCAACTTGGTATATAAAGTGTAATCGTTTTCAGGATATCCATCAGCTTTCACTTTCTTTTTCTTTTCAGGGTGAAAAACATTAAGCTTATTTTTGGGTTCAATTTCTAATTCTTCAAACACATACTTTGGATCCATGAACTTTGGATCTATTTTATCTGGAGCAATGTAATATTGACATACTACAAAAATTTCTGCAGATTCCGTACGTGATGCCTGAGGTTTTGTTGCGTGTACTTTTTTGAAAAGTTGTTTCAAAACCCATATGAGTGCATGATAATCTTTTGATCTGAATACTTTAGTAATGAACCATCCTCCTTTCCTGAGAAACTGCGAAGCTAACTTCAGAGAACTAAGTGTTAAACAAGCTTGTTGGTAGGCATCATGTAACCAGTTTCTACCAACATTCGGAGCACCATCATGAAGTACAACATCTGCTTTCCAGGTTTTCAACTCTCTTGATAATGCTACTCGGCATTTTTCAGTCGTTATGTCTTCTGTTAAACTTATACAACCAGGAATGGGTTTGATTGGAAACAGATCTATGCCAACTACAATGCTTGAAACTGGCATATTCTGTTTGGCAACTTGCATCCATCCACCTGGTGCAGCACATAGGTCGATGCATACTTGCGATTTTTGCAAAAATTCGAACTTGCGATTTAATTGAATTAGTTTGAAGGCCGCACGGGATCTTAAACCTAAAATGTTAAAATGAGTACAAAAAAATTACCTCCAATTTTAAATCATACCTGTTTCTTTCGCGAGCTGGTAGTATTTATCTTTTCGCTGTTTTCCAATTTTCTTTTTTTGACCCATTTTTCTATTTCTTACGTTTTATATTCAAAATACTTTTATTGAATTATCGCGATACCAGTATACTAACATGTGAAGATTAGTAAATCCATATAAATATATAAAATGATGAACATGGACATAAGTTTATGTTAAATTACATTCGGTTTACTTGTCTAACACAGAATCCAAGGACACTTAACTGCACTCAGAGATTACTGCATTTATATACAGTTGAAAATGAATACTTCAAAGCCAAATTATAAAATTGTGAAAAACCAACATATAACGACATAACCACAAATTGCAACACACATATAAAACATAACCTCTCTATGGCTAACCTAGCAGTATAGTAAGTAAGCTGTGCTAGCAGTGATGCCAGATCTAAGTACCAATGTAACCAGAAGAAAATATTTTTCATATTCATAGATATGGTGGTATTTCGTGTTCCTTTATTCATTAGATGAATTTATTTGGGTATAGTATTCAAAGGTATTTTGAATAGATATATTATAAGAAACACTATTTATTCGAGTTTTTGAAGAAAGTTTCATTCCTTTTTCTAGAATATCTACAATTGAAAAACGGAAGCAAACAATAAATTATTGAATAGGTAATGAAAGTATCTCACCAAAATTAGGTTTATAAAGAAATTACATTCATTTAAACAAAACGGTGACATATGAAAAATGTGACGAATGAATCTATGATGTTGTATGAGATAACTTCTGGTTTTCTACTTCTCCAGCTTTATACAAAACAAAAGAAAGGTTTTTTATGTGTAATTCACTGTTCATTTAGAAGTAGTTGTTTCAAAAATATTTTTCTTTGGTGTAATTCTATGTTTTTATGAAAGTAGTTGTTTTGAGTTGTATGAAGTACACATCTTTGTATAGAGTTCGTTTTGAAATTGGTAGCTTTCTTTTTTTCTTTGGAAGATTTCCACTTTTTTTGTATAATGATGGAGAAGTAGAAACTCAAAATCTTTCTTTCCCAAAAATTATTCTCTCTTAAAAATATACCTCTTTGAATTTTTTTGTTTTATGCAAAACGCTCTTTTCTGGATGGAATCCAGCAGCTTCAGGGTATGCTTAGGAGTGGAGCTCCATACATAGAAACAATACTCTAAAGAAGGTCTGATATGAGCTTTATGAAGCATCGAAAGTTATTGAGGTGTATACAGTTTTCTTGTTCGAAAGTGTTCCAAGCTTTTGAGAAGCAGCCTTTGCTGATTTTGCCAAGACATATCGGTGTATATAAACCCCAACAAACTTATCAGAGCAGAAATCGGAATTGTCTGTCCTGACATTTTTATATCCGGTTCGGAGACATTCATCTTCTTGGAGAAAACCGATAGGTATTTCTTGCATTTAATTGAGCCTGGTTACTCTCACTCATTTTCGAAATCAACACTGGGCACCATTATTCATGGTGCCCAGTGTTGCCACTTGTAACATAATTATCGAATTGTAACATATTTTTTCCTCAAAATTGAGTCAAACGAGAATAGGTCTCAAAAATATAGGGGTGAATGGGAAAGTATTCCTGATTTCAAAGGATGGTTAAAATCTGGAGAAGGTAAGATCTGTTCTATTGTTGAAATATTTGTGTAGTATTATACCTACGTATTTTTGAGAAAAATCTTCTCATGCAAAATGTATTGTTTGTGATACAGAATTTCAAGCAGATATAACTGAAAAATCATAGCAAGGGAATGAAACATTAAAAAACGTAAAGAAAATTGCAGAGAATCAACCAAAAATTACTGCCATGATATCTAAAAGAGACGAAATTAAGGATCAGGTATGTAGGGCAGAAATAAAAATTGCTGCGCTATTAGCGGAACACAACTTGCCGATGACATTTTGTGATCATTTGATTCCTTTATTGAAAGACGCGTTTCCGGATTCAAAAATTGCGCAAGGAATGCAGATGGAAAGAACGAAGGTGACAGGAGTTATCAAACATGTTTTGGCAAATTCACATTTTGTTAAACTAGTTGAAGAACTGAAAGTGGAAAAATTTAGCATTTTGATAGATGAATCCACAGACATAGGTGTAGTGAAAAATATTTGTGTGTGTACGGTACTTTGGTAACAAAAATTGAAATAACCACGAAATTTTTTAATTTGGACCAATGTTTTTCAAATGAAAATCCAGCTGAAGCAGAAACAGGTGCAACAGCAGAAGTAATTTATAACAGAATTGAAAGTTTATTCGAGTCTGCAAGAGTATAATTTGAAAATATAATTGGTTTTGGCTCTGATGATGGTTGTAACTCTATATTTGGTTACAAAAATTCAATAGTGAGTAGGTTGAAAGTAAATTTCCCTGGTATTATAGTACGAAATTGCATTTGTCATTCATTACATCTATGTGCTAGTGAGGCCTGTAAAGTTTTGCCTCGCCACTGTGAGAATCTGGCCAGAAATATATATGGCTATTTTAAAAATAGCTCTAAGCGGCGCAAACTCAATTTACTGAATTTCAGACATTTTGTAATGTGAAGTCCCACAAAATTTTGCGTCCATCACAAACTAGATGACTCTCATTACTAATGGTGGTCGAAAGGATTATTGAACAATGGAATCCTCTTCAACTATATTTTGTACGAGAATGGACCGAGCATAGGTTACAAGCATCCGAAATTAAACTTTTTTTCTTTTTACTTCAATGGGTTTTAATTCAAATTTGTTAAATTTGTACAGTGATAATATAAATTCACTATTATTCGTAAACGGCGAATGTTACAATTTAAATGTTACAGAGAATATGATAATGTAACGAATTAAAGAATTAACTGTCTTAAACAAATTTATTTTAACAATACTTCACTATCACAACTAATTTATTTACACCACTAACGCTTAATTTATCTTCACCGTTTGTTAACCGCTCGATTCGCTTTCTTGGTACAGATTACTCTTCGGGACGAATAGCGACGTTTTTATATCGTCAACGAACGTTCCGAATTTGGTGTTCTCCTCGAGTTTGTTCATTATTGAACTCCAATCACCCCCAGAAACTTCGAATAAATATGTTTCGGGATCTTCTCCTGATTCAATCAAGTTGTCCCATAGTCTCTTCTGGAGTACTGATTTTTTTCCGGAAGAATCTAGTTCTCTCTCCTCCAATTCTTGCTTCAATTCGGCGACTTTCAAGTCCACTAGGCGCACTTTTCTTGAACACATTTTATCTCTTACTGTCTTTAAATCTATTGATGATGTTACCAAGGATACTTATATTTGCTCACTATATTTCATTGGAGAAAGTGGTCTAACTGAACAAAACTCTGATTCTTTAGGCTATCAGGAATTTCAACATACGTACATCATTCCTTATTGCATTTTTGACTGTAAATTTCATAAATTTCATATATATTATGTTGTATTAAATATAATAAGAATTACTAAACATATTCAATTCAGTATTTACATATTTGTCTAATTAATAATGTCATATGTACAGCCTCAAAATATTAATTTCTTGGTTTATTTATTAGTTCCATAAGTAATACTCTTGTCAACTGAAATATATTTTCAACTACATCAAATAAATGGACATTATTAATAAGAATAAAACTGTAAATACTATTTTTTCATGTGTTTTTAGATAGTAAACCTCTAACCTCTAATCAATCAGCTCTCTCTAACCCCTCAATCAGCTCACTTTTTTCCTTTTTGCGGGCACCCATGACGTTTTAACCACCTTTTTAATGTTCACAATTATGAGCCTCAACTGAATTATAAACAAGGGAAGCACCATCAATGGTTTTTTCCAATAATTTATTTGTTTATAGAGATAATATTCCTTGCTCAGCCATTGTTGATTAAAACAATACGATTTACCGCCATTTCAGTATGACGGCTACGCTTGCGCTCGTCTTTTGATGAAAAGGCCTATGGCTGGGCAAGATCAGGGTTTTGTTCAGTTGGACCACTTTCTCCAATGAAATATAGTGAGCAAATATAACTATCCTTGGTAACATCATCAATAGATTTAAAGCCTCGGTCACTCCTGCCACATTTTTTCACTCATAATTCACATTTCGTACATGCTTTAATATGTAATTTGCTTGATGATTTGATTATTTTTCTACGATATTCAAGACAAGGCTTTGGAAAATTTATAAAATAGTATGTGTTGGTTTTGAATGATTTGTATCGTGTATAACTTTTACATACCCCATAACAACACCGTTTTGTTGTTCCTTTTCCTACAGATAGCATAATTATAATGGAGTATACATTTTGTTTTGATTATTTTGACTTTCTACTTTTTTTTTTCTTTTTTTTCACAGTTAATATACTTCAATTTATATTTTAATTTTAAAAACATGAGTTGCGGGCTCTTTTACATGGTTGTTTACAAAAAACAGTACGAAAAAGATGGATGATACTGACGCATGCGCACAAAAAAAATTGTGATGAAAAGGCCTATTGTTGTTTGAAACCACAGACCATATACCCTAGACGGTTCACGTAGGTTATTTCACCTTGAATCCCTTTTTTAGTACCGATACAAATCTTAAGATGGCACTGTAAATTTGTTCTTTGGTTTTATGTCACGGACCCACATATATTCTTGTGGTTTGTGATGTATGTCAAAAATAAGAAGAAGAAGAACATGTTCATAATATATAAAAGATGGTCATAATGGTCATATCACTCATGTGTTGTTGGTCTGTGGTGTTGTTGTCTGACTGTGTACCCTAGTTATTATTTATTTCGTTATTTTGATTGGGTAAATTTTCGTTATGTGGACACCCGGCGATTTTGAAAAAATTTTTAACTGTACTTACGTATTTTGATGCGTAGATTACGAATCCGAAAGAAAAAAGCGGCGCTCTCCCTTATTTAAAAAGTTACGGCCCTTCAAAGTTCAGAAAAGGGCAACTTTTCAGCCTTCTTTTTCACTAAATAAACTATTTAAAAACACAAGCATCTATTCACTAGTTCACCTTTACACCTTATTCTTCCTTCTTTAACACTTTTCACTTCAATAATCAACATTTTTCTTATAAAAATGTTAAAAAATGTACGGAGCTGCTTTTTGGTTACATATCACTGTATTTTACGTTTTTAAGGTTAATGATATGGTTGGTACGACTGATGCAGTCCATATTCCTGAAGTAATTCAAATGTTTTTTACCTTCACTCTTTAGATCGTAAATTGGTTTTTGGTGGTGTATTACGAATTTGAAATAGTAGGCGACGGCAAATACCAACCGCTTTTTTCTGAAATGTTACTATTAACTAACCTAAAAATAGAATAATGTCACCAGGAGAAGCATTCGTTTTTAAATTAAGTTTTTTATAAGAAAAATGTTGATTATTGAAGTGAAAAGTGTTAAAGAAGGAGAAATAAGGTATAAAGGTGACCTAGTGAATAAATGCTTTTGTTTTTAAATAGTTTACTCGAGTGAAAAAGAAGGCTGAGAAGTTGCCCTTTTCTGAACTTTGAAGGGCCGTAACTTTTTGAATAAGAGAGAGCGCCGCTTTTTTCTTTCGGATTCGTAATCTACGCATCAAAATACGTAAGTACAGTCAAAAATTTTTTCAAAATCGCCGGGTGTCCACATAACAAAATTTACCAAAATATATAATTCCATTTGTTATAAAATTCACCATAACAACTATCACACATAATTGGTGCAAGCGTGTAAATCAAATTATACAGGGAAAATCGAAACTGTATACAGATACAAATGTAATTAAATTACAAGTCAATAAAATTCGTTTGAACAGAATAAAGAAAAAGAATTCTAAACAACCTGAACATATGATCACACAAAATGTTTAATGTTGAAATGTTCTGAATAAAAAATCTATAATAATTCAGCTCTTTTTTTAAACCTTTTTGCCCTGCAACACAAAGCAGTGGTTAAGAATTTGTTCTAAATATAATTTTTACATTGTTTTTGGAAATTTCAGCGTTTGTTTAAAGTCCACACAGCACTCAATATAAAGTGTAGTTTGAGACTCTAAACAATACGCTGAAATTTCCAAAAAACATTTGAATAAAATGAATATTCTAACTATATACAACATTTAAATATCCCGCGTCCGTCACAATGGTACTGATACAAATCTTCAGATGGCGCTTTTTTTCCGTCTCTGTTGTTTAGCATTGCCGTGAACCGTCTAGGGTATATGGTCTGTGATTGAAACAGTACGATTGTTTTGAATTACCGCCATTTCAGTATGACGGCTACGCTTGCGCTCGTCTTATGATGAAAAGGCCTATTATAGCGAAAAGCATACATTTTCGTCTATCATTTTCATACTACATTTTTTTGCCGCGGAGCAGCACTGGTTACGTCACAGCGACAGCGAAAAAATATTTCTCTACGTTACGAAAAATCAAATCTTGGCTAAGAATTTCAATGGTTGAGGAACGTCTAATCAGACTGGCACTTCTTTACGTTTATAAAAGCGTACCCATTGAAGTAGATGAAGTGAAAACGCCTTTCGGGAGAAGACATAAAAGAAAAATTAATTTTGTTATTTAAATATAGGTAGGTGTAAGCATTGTCTGTAGGAATTTTTAAGTACAGTACTCACACTCATAAAATACCTACTTCTTCTTGTATCTATTATCATCAAAATTAATTCATAACTTCTTGTGACTTGACCGCAACTATATGACCTGCCCGACGCCATGCCAAAGCTGTAGCGTAAATATATGTTTCATACATAAAAATGATAGGTCGACATTCTTCTCTTTTAAGTCTGCAGGACCGCATTCTCTTCAAAAATTCTATTCTGAGTAGTCGCAAAGACTGGCGTTCCATTAATATTTTCCTGTTATTTTTCACCTTTCTTCATCAAAATCCAAGTGTGTGTGTCACAAATCGACACAACCATCGAAAATAACCTCGAGTTTAAGTTGGGTAGTTTTTTGGATATATGCAAATAAAGTATAAGTGTAATTTTTCATGTGAAACTTGATGGATGACTGTGTTGCATTCTATTTCGGTTCAAAAGTATGAAAATATGATATAAGGGGTATTTTTCTCTCTCTCTTTGAATCCAACTTGTCAAACGGACAACAATGTGTCTGCCTCAGAATCTAATAATATATCAAACCTTGAAATAATTGAGTGTGGAGTGCCTCAAGTGTTGGGTCCTCTCTTATCCATAATACACCCATCGAAGATTATGTATTCGTGGTCGCTTAGAGACTCGTCTTCGAGCACCCTCTGGATTTCTCGCTCAATACATTCGGTCATTTTGTGAATCCTTATGTCACTTCTGTTCGTGGCCTATATTCTAGCGATTTAGCATTGAAGTCACCGACGATGATAGCTTCAGTGTTTGTTTGTATTCATTAAGTATTTGTTGCATAGTGACTTTTAGGTCTTCAATTTCATCATATTCGGATTAATAACAGCTATCAGTTCGTACATAAGTGTGTTCTGGACCATGGACATGGTTCCTAATACCCATACTAGTACTCATTACTTTTATCGCTGTTCTAAAATCCTCTCCGTATATCCAATCTCGCCTGTGTCGAATAATATTGACCTAATCGCTTACGACTATGATGTCTGCTTGGAATTATCTGGCAGTGGCCAGTGCCAGATCATGAGCTAGGCGACTTTTCTTGATGTTGATTTAAAGAACTATTGTCATTTTTGCTGAGCGCTTTTCGATACCTCCGCTTTTTCCCGCCTCGCGTGTATATTCGACATTTTTGGAAACCCAATTGGTGTCCTTTCGTCTTGCAGTATATGTAGTAGGGCCTCTTATGGCATTCTACTGCCCTATGACCGTCTGCGTATCTCAGACAGTACCGTTTCCGGTCTGGT